GTAACTTAGTAGGAAAATGGACAAAGAACTTGGACAGAATTTTCAGAAAAAAAAAGATATAAACATAGCCAACACATTGAGAGATGTTGAATATCATTCATAACTAGAAAATGAAAATAAAAATATCATTTTGGCAAAAATTTAAAAAGATATTAATATAACCAGTATTTGGTGATGCTGTGAGGTAACTAACTGGCATACTCATACACTTGGTATAAACTAGTGTAACTTTTATGGAGGAATAACATAGTATCTTTTGAAATAAAAAGTGCACTCTTTGACTCACTGCTAAAAGTTATCTCAGAAAAATACAATCATAAAAGCACAAAGTTTCATATACAAGAGTTTTCATGAAGAATTCTTTGTAATAGCAAAAAACCAAAGTTCATTAATGAACTATTTCAACAATGATGTCCAATGCAATAAAGAATGGAATACATTTACAATTACTGATACAAAATATTGTTCACAATATATTGTAAATTTAAAAAGGCAAACTGAAGAGTAGTATGTACAGTGTGCTTGTTTATATGAAGATATAGGTAGGTATATATGCATAAAAGTACTCTAAAAGGAAATACAAGGAACTTCTTGTGGTTGTTACCTCTGGCAATGTAGGAAGGAAAATGTTTGCTTTTCATAAAATTCCCTTCTGTACTGTTTGAAAACTACCATGAACATGTATTAGTTCTATAATTTAAAAAAGAAAGCTTCAGTTAAAAATATCTAAAGAACAAATGGGTGCCATTACAAAATGTCTGAAAACAAGTTGTTAGAAACTATGTTGCTGTCTTAGAAGATGAACTTTTTTTTTGCAACTTTTACATTATTAGCTGATTCCTCAATCTGAAGAAGAAGAAATTTACCCATTATTTTTCTACTAATGGTGCTTATTTTATGCCAGGTACTATTTTAAGTGCTTTAATCATCATACAGTCAATGCGTGGTTGCTATTATTCTTATTCCCACATTGTAGAGAGGAAAATGAGGCACATAGAGGTTTAATTACTTAACCAGGTTCTCTTCTCTTATGCCTTTTGATCACCCTTCATTCTAACAGGTTGATGTTGAAACTTTCTCCGTCAACCCAGCAGGTTGTCTAGGTGTGTGGAACTGCTGTCTGAGGCATTCTTGGTAGTTCCAAGACTGGATGCACAATTCTACACCAGGAATTAGATTGTTTAATCTTCTGTGGTCCCTCACGCATTGTGGATGGGTTGTGGCTACTGAGGGATATGACATCCTACAGGGCTTCCATGGGCAGTAAACTGTTCAGTGTAAGAACGAAACACATGCCATCGGTCAAGGCATGAAATTTTTGAAACAGGGCCTTGGCACTGGGAGAGGTTTTTATTACCGTTGGTTAGTGATGAGAATCAGTAATCCTATTGAGAGCCAAGTTTCCTGTTTGAAAAGACTCTCAGGGAACGTAGCCTTCTGGTCGCTTTAATTGACTACCTGAACAGTGAGACACACACCATTATGTTAGGTGGTGTGAAGATCCATAATAACAGAGACAAATCCAAGTACTCAGAACTAAAGGTTCTCTTTTGCTGAGGGAGTAACAGTCTAAGTTCATTGCTGATGAAATAGGATTTGGCTGAGCCATCTCTTGATCTTGATCTAGAGCTGTGCTGTTCAATACAACAGCCACTGGCCACAGGCAGCTAAATTTAAATGAATTAAAGTGAAATAAGTAAAAAATTAGGCTCCTCAATCACCCACGTCCCGTTTCAAGTGTTCAAGACTAATATGGGAGCTAGTTGCTACCATAAAGGACAATGCATATTTTGAAATATTTCCATTATTGTAGAATGTTCTGTTGAGCAGCACTGATCAATAAGATAAACAATATGTCACCAAAGATATTCCATCAAGAAACACCATTTTGATAGCTCAATTGACTGCACCAGAGAGGTCCTATGTAGTTTTTATTTTCAAATGTTGCAGGTTTTAAATTGAAGGGATGACAGTAAGAACTTAGGTTTTGGTGTGAAATTGTAAAGCTTAACTTACTCAGTGAAGGCACCTTCTTTCAGGGGATCACTAGGGATAATGATTATAGAAAAGGAGATGGGAGCGGAGGTTGAATGCTCTGAGGTTAGGATTTTCCCTGAATGAGAAGGAGTGTGTGACCTGATTAGGCCAAAGGAAGTGGTTAAAGGTACTTCTGATACTTACACAAGAGGCACATACGGCTGACCTTGTTTCTGGAACTTGCTTTGGTTTCTGGCCACTTTACCTTTCTTTATCTGATTATATCAGTAACAATCAGTTAGGCATCTTAAGAACACACATCTTAGCTTCCATTTCTGGTTTAAGAGATTCTCAATGCCTTTCTCAAGGGGAAAGAAGTTGTTTTATTGGTCTTGTTTTACATGCCTCTAAACTTTGGAAGGAATCAAGGCAAGGGAAATCAAATGAAGGGCAATATTATTTCTCACATAGTTCAGGGTATCCCAGGTGGCTTGTAGCATGGGAATATATCTAAATCTTTTTCAACAGAGTCTGGTGAGGTGTTTGATTGCCCTCTCCCACCCGAGTCTTTGGATGTAGACTAATAAACTGAGGAAGTGAGAATCAATGATTTCTCGAAGTCTTCATCTTTTGGGGTGGCGGACAGGATGCCAAGGAAAGCTGATTAGTGGATAACGTGTCCAATGAAATTAGAAAGTAGGTCAAAAGAGAACGTTCAAAGGAGAAGAAAACTATTCAAAGAACAGCTAGAAGGATAAAACAGGGAAAGTGGTGGATTTTGGGCCAACATTGTCCCTAGTAACCACAACAGAGGCAGTTTTCATGAATTGGTAAGAGAAGAGGAGGATGGCTACAGGGAATGAAGAGGTATTTGCAAGGTGGCATTGCAAATAAAAATAAAACCAAAAATGCGAGTATTGGACCTTATTTAGTCTTGGCTATTCCATTATCCTCTCATATAAGTAAAAACTCCAGTGTCCAATAAATACCGGTTGAATGAATCCTTGCAAAAGAAATCAGGCTGAATGCATAAATTCCTTTATTGAAAATATTGGGCTAGCACTGCATTACATATATTCAATATTCATAAATGAAGGGCCACACATTTCTGATTGGGCAACACTGTTTTAAATAGAGAACAACAGCATCTGGATATGCCCTCACAAGTACGTGTAATGGACTAAGCTAGGTAAGAGTGAACTATCTGCAAAATGACTGTTTTTGTTTGTTAATAGCATGTGGTTGCAAATGGCATACATGGTAAACGTGATCATTATGAGACATTCCTGATATCTCACACCAACACATTATTTAATGAACTGTTTAAGGTTAAACTGCCAGTATGTTTTTCATCAAGAATTCTCAATAGAAGAACTCAGGAGAAAGCACACCCAGGCTACAGACTAAGATTTACAGTACTCATTTAAACTTTTATGGAATGTAAGTACAGTTAAGTAACTGTTGATCTGACCAAAGGCCATTTGGCAATTTGTTCTCTTTTGTAAACGGTCTAAAATAATAATAATCTAAAGGAAATATTCTGCCAACTTAAGGCTTACATTCTAAGAACCGTTTTATTTTTCTAAGACAGTTATTTAAATACTACTTTTGTTATTAATTTTTTTCTTTCCGAGATTATTGGGATGTAATTTATGACAGACCACTTCTCAGCTTTGGCTATTACTTGAAAATGTTTTACATTAGCAGTCTTTGGCTTTTGTAAAAGTCTGGCAATCAATAATATTGGTTAAACTCTAACAAGGTTTTATTATTATAGTTAACAAAACAGTGTTTTATGATGTTAAACATGGGTTGATTTTAAAAAAATAGGTTTTACTTTTTGTTCCAATTTTGGTATGAATGCATTTCTTTGCATTGTTTTTTCTCAAACAAAAGAGTCTAGAGACCAAGACAATTGGGCTAATTTGATACTTTCCATTTGATAAAAAATATGCAGAAATTAAAATACTCAGTCCCTTTAAAAACAGAGGCCTGTGTGTTAGTGTAAAACCTTGGGGGAAATTATGTGAAAACACTATGAAAATAAAGTTTTTGTTACTAGCCAAAAATGATTTTATAAGAAACAAACAATTTTCTATTCAAAAGCAGTGTTTGTTCTGCTCTAGGTTCATAAAGGTATCCACTCCTGTAAATATCAAGTCATAACTGTGAGAAATGGCTTATTCTTCTTTACACAACTATGTTCAGAGTAAGTAACTAAAAATATAACTTTTAATGACTACATGGAAAGCTGGCCTATCACAGTCAAATCAATGAACATTGGTGATGAGTTTTTGAAAGTTCACAATTAAGCATTTATATCCATGTATATACTGTTTAAGATCTATCACCCTAAACAACCAGGGCAAAGAAAGCTCAATATAAAACTATATAAATCAAGTAGAATTGTCGCCAAAACGAAGCACATTTCTTTATTTCAAGATTTGACACGTTAAAAGAAATAAACTGGCAACACATTTCAGACAATATACTAGAAATAATAAATAAAAGTTTCTTTAAAAAAAATCATATACAAATTCCCTTGAAGTGCTGTACATTTTCAATTTTTCTAAATGAGACTAACCTTTCCCATGGCAAACGAGAGTATGCTGTACATTTTGGTAATGAAAATTATGTTGATAAATACACAAGGCATGTATATATTTCCACAGTATCTTTTTTTTTTTCACAGTTACCAAAAATAAAAATTGCATTCAACTCATACATCTATAAATACTCTGATTCCTCAGTGTATGGATTTGATGAAGGTGGGAGTACAAGTCTTTCAACAATCTGGCCTTCCAACCTCTCTCATCAGTGCCTGCCCTCCCTCCACATGCACCTCCCGGGATCGCTCTGCAATGTGATCATGCTCTGAGATGATGGCCGAAAGAAAGCATGATGGTGGGAGGAGGCAGTCCGGGCTGGGGCGTGTCTTCCTGCCAGCTTTAGGAGAGCTGTCCAAACCCATTCCCTTTAATGTTAGAGTTAAGGCAGCCTGAATTTCACTCGAATGTCCATACCTCGAGGTCTTGAACTATGAAGTCTTCTTTTTTGGAAAGAATATCATTATTGAAAGTGCTACAGGAATTGCTTCGGCCATGGTATAAATCAGCATCTAGCCATAAACCAAATCGACCCCTGAAAAGGTTAAAAAAAAAAAAAAAAAAAAAAAAAGAGGGAGGAGGGTCAATTCATTTCAATCTTAGGTGCCACACTTTCTGTCCTCCCCTGCCCCGTTTTTCTTTCCTTTATGCTACAGAGAGGCAAAAACCCTAAACTGCTTGTAAAACAAAGCAGTTTGTTTTATTTCCTTTATTTCATTTAAGTCATCTGTCTTTCCTAAAGGGCAAGTGGTAGCAAGGCCTCATTTAGACACATAAATAAACCATTTCACCTCTCATTCTTAATGTCATGGTAGGCCACTGCCCCATCCTAATAAACGTGAGCAAAGGGACTAGCTAACATCAGCTGGCACCAAGGTTTTGGTCACCTGGGTCAAAAGAGACCCTCTCAAGTCAGGGGGTAAATTAGTAAAATAATGAAAGCCTTACCCTCCACCACCAAGTTCTAAGGAACTTATGTCTCCGTTGATAAAGTATGAGTTTTCTCCACTCCACTTAAAGACCTTAGGATAGAAACACAAGACAGAGAACAGACACTTTAATCTGAGTCTTAGCAAAAACAAACAAACCCAAACAAAGAAAAAAACAAACAAAAAATAACAACAAACTATTTCCTCTGGACTATCCATTGGCTGAAGAAGCACCTGAGTGCCAGGCCTTCTCTACCCCAGGATGAGACCTCCTGAGGGGTTATGAAGTCAGAGAGATCTCGCAGGCCCATGTTCACTCTGACCTGCAATCCCCTGCTAGGCTCCAGACCAGGCAGAAGAGCAGTTCCCAAGCTCCCCGGAGGGACCCTGAGCAGTTTGTGTACTACAAAACTTGTTGACCCAGGCTGGAAGAAGTCCAGATGGGGTCATGGGACAGCTGCTGCTCCAACCTCACCCACCCCCCTGACACTGTGACATGGAAATCAGATATTCTCCTATCTAGGTACCTTGAAATTGGGGCTAAATGTGTAGAGAAAAGTTTCGCCTGTGCCGTAATAGTGGTCACTGAACTTGAAAGGATGAGTGGCATATGCTCCAAAAATCTGTTTTAAAAAAGAAAAAAAGAAAGGTTATCTACTTTCAAACCCAAACCTCCCAAAGAAAGACTTTCCAAAATGTTTTAACACAGTCCTGAGGTCTCATATACCGCTTTCGGCAAAGCTCATTATTAAATTGGAGCTCTTAAGTAAGAAGGACCACCAACAAAGAGATACAGCAAATGTCCCCAGCTCTAACTAGAATCCAAGGGGCCTATTTGTCAAAGGCCAACAATTGTTTCCATGTTAAAAGACCTCCAAAGTGCACCAGAGAGACCAATTTCCTTTAGTGACTGCAGACAACACAATGGGAACATTAAGCAACAAGAAGCATCTTGCACACAGAAATGAGCGGTTGAGAGAACAAAGTAAAATCTTCTTTGTTGTTTTACAAGTGGAAATGTAGCCAGACATTTTCCCAGAGAAAAATCAATGTTTCTCTCTTTTGATTTGTAAAAGTGGGTTCTCAACATGCTTATTAAAACTCTATCCTTAACATGACTGACCCAATATATCTTGGTTTAAATTGGCTTTTAAGAAAAAGCAAACAGCTCCATAGACTATGGGCTTTAAAGGTGATTTTGATGTATTGGAATCAATGGCTCTTCTATTTCTTCTTGGGGGTTGGAAGGAGCAGCGTTTTCAGAATAAGCATGTCGGCAGCCTCAGCATCCTCTGCTTCTGCTCGGATCCTGGTCAGCAGCGCAGGAGTGAGGGTTGGCAAGAGTGAGCCTATGTGTTTGCAAAAATGTAGGTCATTCTGATATAGCTGCTATTCCAGGCCCCATGGGGGTTATCTGGAAAACGTAATTTTTCAAATCATTTTAATTGAATTATAATCATTGTGGAATCTCAGTTCTTGGTTCCTTGAAATGCTAAAAATTAGGTAGAAGTCTAGAAACCCTTTCCAACCAATGTTCTTCATACTTCCTGCTACCAAACCTTCCCATATTGCTGCTAAGAATAAATGAAAGCAAAACTAACAAAAAGGTCAAAAATCCATTTCCCTTCTTCTGGGAATCTTCCAGTAAAAGAGTAAACATTCCATTGAGCTAGGCATCTATTTTTAAAAGCATGTGCTAACATATAACAAGAAGGGCAATGGCCATCCATGGAAGAGAATGGGCCCCCTCCAGACCAATGAACAGAAAAAAGCATCCTTCCTCTTTTATCCTCCATAAGAGTCTAAATAAATTAGATTCTTTCTTTGCTAAAATTTTCTTAGCAACATGGAAATCTGTGTAAGGACCAGGATTGGAAGGTACTAGGGAATTATTATTGATTTTGTTAGGTACTAGTATAAGGCATTGTGGTTATATAAGAAAATGACCATTTTATTTTTTCTATTAACTTTTTAGAAAATTATATAAAATAATATGCAAATAATAGTACTGTTGGATCTATAACACATAAAAACCTAATATATTAGGCAATGTCAGAACAAAGGAATCCATGAGAATAACTGAAGACAGCCAGAAATGGTAAAAGGAAGGTTAATATAACAAAACTGATAAATGTATATTTGCTCTCCTTTCTTCTTTCAGCTTCTTTAGATAAAAAAAATTATATAAAGTAGTCATCGTAACAATTTATTGATGGGTTTGTGATATATATCCGTGTAATATGTGTAAAAATTACCACAGGAAGTGGAATGATATAATAGAGCAATATAGGATTAACATTTTATACCTCACTGGAGTTAGCATAAATCAGAATATTAATTGCATGGTAATTGCTCTGTCCTTTTTCACAACATCTTGTGGTATAAATTACTCTACAGTCTGATTCGATTAAATCTGGGCCCTTTGCAGGGTAGTTCCTTTGGTCCATCTATCGTGACTCCAGAAAGGCTCTCCTTAGCGGTCTCCTTCCCTGCTTCTCTCCGGGACACCAGCTGGTCTAAGGTTAGCCTGCTGTCTTTCTGGGGCTACTAACCTCACCATTGTTTATCACCAACATGTGCGCTGTTTCTAGAGTGCCCTTGGGCTTGAACTTGCCCTGACTCTCCTAAAAAAGGCAGCTCCTTTGAGGAGCGCTTCAGAGCTCTGTGTCAGGGTCTGGTCTGGTTCTTCCCCTGGAGGTGGAGCTTGGGGCTCTGCAGAGCTGGGGGCTAGACATGTTTTATGAGCAGATGCTGGGCAGGTAGAAGCTGGTCTTGGCTCACCTCACCTGGCATGAGATGTCTGCCCCAGAGGCTGGGACAAAGGCAGGAGAAAGCCTTGTGTTCTCAGCCTGCCAAGCCCCAAGTAGAACATCTGTCCTACGAGTAGAGGCGGGTGGATGGAGAGAGCCCTTTAACTCTAGGCCACACAGGAATGGAATTTAACTCCTGAAACAGTGATCTTGGGCTGTTGATGAGAAGCCCTAGAGAAGGTGTATCATTACTCTGGCCTGGAAGAGGGAACTCCATCTTCTTGTCTATCAGTCTGAACTGGGGGTGAGTGGAGGGAGCAGGGTGTGCTTCCAGTAACACAGAATCTCACCACTACTACCAAAATTTATTATATTTGCTGAGTGAATGTTTCTTCACTTGTATGCCCTTAAGACAATTTCTAGAGACTTCATGTGATGTCTATTTTCATAATTTCTACTGGTATTGTTGTTTCACTGGGGATGGAATCTGTAGAGCTCTTTCCTGCTGCCATTCTGCATAGGTAATATTTTTATATTAAAATTTTCATTTCCAGAGAAACGTATGACTATTGATCTACCATGTCCTCAAACACAGACAAGCCACAATCTTGCCCTGGGGGTAGATGGGACGGGGTAATTATGTTAGTGTTTAGGTATCTTCAGGCAGTACCAGTGGCTGGAGAGTATCAGATTCTTTAAGATTTACCCCTGACAAGCAGTGCAACCTTTGGTAGAGGCCTTCTTTACATATCTGCTAACAGGAAGCTGGAGGAGAGGAAGCTGGGTGGAGATGTGATTCATCAATGCTTGCCCTAGGCAGCCAAGACATTCCCCAACAAGTGTGTTATCTTGTGGTGGGGATTTATGTATGAAGTCTAAAACCATCTAGCCATATCACATCTAAAACATTGCACCCAGCTTCTCAAGCATTTCACTAAATCCCTAAGTAATTCTACTTTAAATCTCTGTTTTTACTATTTTAATTTTTGACTTGACTCTACCCACTATTCAGCTGGATCCTGGTTAAATGCGTTAATCAGGAAACAATAATAGGAACAATGATAACATCTAAACTCCTCCAGAACTCTTAAGCTGCAGGAGTCACAGGAACAAACCCAGTTGAGAAAGAATGCCTCAATACCCCATTTCTCTGTGAATTTTCCCCAAGGCAAATTATGACAGTTAAGATCTATTTCCTCTAAAATGAACACAATTATATGGCTTCACAGCAAGCTCTTCAATGCGTAATAGTGTCCCTCATGTAACAGGCATTCATGATACATTTTATGAATGAATGAATGAATGAATGAATGGGCTACTGAGTAAAATCTGCTTCAATACCAGAAAGAGAAAAGAATAGCATCTCTAGCCTAAAAAATGTAAAGGAATTTCTTCTTAGTACAATACACACAAAACAGAAATAAAGAAAGAACAGACTTAAAAGAGACCTTCCTTTTGTGAAGCAGGAGCCTGACTGGGTGGTATGTAAAGGATTCCAGGGAAGATTCTACTTGCATGCCAAGCGAGGAGCACTGGTGTCAGGTAGATGGGAAATGCCTGCGTTTCAGTGCCTCCAAGACGGACCACAACGGAGGTAAAAGTGCAATGAGCCATAGTAGAGCATTCTCCCTCCCATTTCATAACAATTGGGCTCTTTCAGTACAACACACCATGGCCTAGTCTAGCTATCCATCTCAGCAACCATACGGGCAAGGTTTGTGGCTACTACTTCAGCCACCTAGAGTAAGTTCTGGTAAGGCACTAGAATTTCTTTCTGCAGTTACCACCAAATCCAGACTTGACTTTATCTAACTTCTCCAGCTTTAGGTTGTAGAATACCATTCTAGTTTTCTGCTGTGTGGTAAGTACATACAAAAACTCCGCAGAATGTGACTGTAGTTGGAGATATGCTCCATTTTCTTTCTTTCTTTCTTTTTTTTAGAGATGCATTTTGAAGTGTGACATACTAATTAGGATTTACTCCAAAACATTTCAGCAAAGAAAAACCAATGAAGAAAAGGCAGATGAAGCTTAGGTGGCAAAATCCTGCTAACTTGTGGGATCTGGGTCATGGGAGTTCCTGGTACTCGTCTCTACCATTGTGTAGGTTTGAAAATCTTTATTTAAAAAAAAAAATGTTTTCCGAGACAGAAACAAGCCTCACCTGATTATCCATGTCTTTGATAACCAGCAGGACAGGACTGTCTAGCGATGCTGATTTCCGATAGAGAGTTTTCAAGCTGGTCCCATGCTCCAATGTGCTATAGGCGAGTCTCCATGGATACCCTTGTACCCTGGCTGGAAGGCGGCGGGCCAGCTACGAATCCAAAGATGGACATGTAAATAGACAATTCACCCACAAACCACTCATGAGCTTGAGGCACAAAGGATATGCCTGTGGGTCAAACTTAAAATTACACTGATTTACATACTGTTCCCTTTTACTCTGGGCAAATATTTGCCACCTTAAACCAAGGGAGAGAAGGGGAAGTTATTTGTTGGTGGTGTTGACCTTGGCAGGATGCCTTCCAGAGCACACGATTACTCTCGGGGGCCCGACTGTGGGGTCACTATGCCATACGGTGGGAGGCAGGGCACGTAGCTTGAGACGAAGCATGCATTATTAGACGCATGCTCTCCGTCTTACTCTTCAGCATGGCTTTCATCAGACAGTTCATGTTTCTCCACTGTTCTTCCTCCTAGGAAACCCTCTCGGGCTCAGAGCTGCTACTGACAACAGCAGTTTCCCACAGAAGTGACAACAAGAAAACTGCTTTATGCCAGCAGTCAGGTGCAGTGTGCCCTCAACCCACCCGAATCTTGCACTGCATTAACATTTCACTTCAACCTGATGGCCATGAATACCAGTGGTGCACCTCTCTTCAAAATACCAACGAAGAGCCGAAACCAGTTTGGCTCAGTTGGCCTGTGGACTGAAAGGTCCCAGGTTCGATTCCGGTCAAGGGCATGTACCTTGGTTGCGAGCACATCCCCAGTGGGAGGTGTGCAGGAGGCAGCTGATAGATGGTTCTCTCTCATCGATGTTTCTAACTCTCTATCCCTCTCCCTTCCTCTCTGTAAAAAAAAAAAAAAATCAATAAAATATATGTTTTTTAAAAATACCAACGAAGAAGACTATGAAGTGCTGACTCTTCAGAATGCTGCACATCATTCTAGTATCAGAACAAACCCCCTTTCTGCAATTGTTTGGTCAAATCTCCTGGCTTTCCTGGGCCTTTGTGGACTCATTTGTAAATCGAGGGAGCTACCCTTAAGGGTTTGCTAAGGTCTCTGAGATTCAGGTCTATGCTGACGGATGGGGGAAGTGGGAGAGGTTCCTGACTAAAGGTCAAATGCAAGCACATTCTTTAGCATTTCATAAAAAGAAGTATAGCATTTCAGAAAACATAAAGTACACAAGTAAAACTACAGAAAAAGGAATTTTTTTTTCCTAAGGGGTAGGTAGTTTTCATAAAGCCAATGAAATGTATTTGCTAAATGATCTTTATGGTCCTGATAAATTAAAAAACAACTCTGCAGTCATCCCTGGGATAAATTTGGATCCTAGGTGTGTTCGTTTAGAACACTTTAAATATTGGTTTTAGGTTTGCCCGGGTAGCTCAGCTGTTTAGAGTGTTGTCCCACTACACCAAGGTTGTGGGCTCGATCCTGATTCGGTACACAAAGAATCAACCAAATAAATGCGTAAGTAAGTGAAACAACAAATCAATATCTCACTCTCTCTTTTTCTCTCTCCGTCCTCTCTCTCTCTCTCCCTCTCTCTCCCTCCCTCTCTCTCTCAAACCAATTAAAAATTGTTTTTGAAAACAAGAAATGGCATTTTGTTCACGTTGGAGAGATGGCTGTAGCGGCTGGCCAAGGCCACACACTCCAGAGAAGGCAGCAGGGAAGGCTGCCACAGCCTTTCGGAAGCAGAGAAGGGGACACTGGCCGTGGTGAAGTTGCGGGTCTTCCTTTAAAACCTGGCTCATCCTTCGCCCAGAAGGAAAGCAACGTGGTCAGGGTTGCAAAATGCTTCTTAAGGCCGGAAGCCCCCCATCCTAAGCCCCCGGGGGGGACCACCTGCTCGATGTGCATGTTCTCCAGGAGCGCGCTGTGGGGCTGCAGGACCGGCAGGGCCGTCTCGTCATCGTCTTCATAGTAGCTGCACGTGCTCTTCCTGCGCTTTGCCTCCTCGACAGTGATGATCTGAAAGGCAGAAGACAAGTTAAACACACACACACACACACACACACACACACACACAAAACCCCTGATGTCTGCTTTACCTTAGCCAGCTAACATCAACCTCAGGTACGCAATATCCTGAAACATGCGGAGTTTTAGCAGCAGGACAGAAATTGAACTGGGACTTTGGGGAATGGCTAAATTTTTCAATTTCAGAACAAATGCAGAATTTAACATGGTACAGCGGAGGCACTTCATACGTACACATTAAAGTGGCACGTTTTCCCTTTTATCATTGCTGTCGATTGCTCAGTCCTTGAGCAAGAATTATGTGTGACTCCACAAGCAACTAATGCCCCTGAAATTCCCCTAATTATTATCCTTTGACTTGTATCTAAAACCAGTCAGAGATCATTTTATGAGTAAGTCTTCTATAAATAGGGATATTGGGAAGATAAGATACTTCTTTAAAAATGAAGGCTCCTAATGTTTTTTCTTAAGATTGTGCAGGTAACAACCAACCCCGATAGAAATGGCAAATGGTAACAGCTACCAGAGCAACAATCCAAAGAAACACAAGTTTAGTCTGACTGACAATTAGGTTATGGTTCTTTTTGTGCAGTTCAGGAGCTATACAATAGTCTCTCCTTCAAAACTGAGAAAGGTGATGCACACAACATTATTCCATTATAACTATGCTTATGAACTACCAAAATCAATTTCACCTTAAGATCTATTTTTTTTTTTTGCCCCTCCTAAAGTCTGGATAAATCACTGACTTATTTTTAAATGAAAGACGTAAAGTGACTAATTCACTAAAATTCCTGGGTACCAATATTAATAACTTTTGCATTATAGAGAAAAACATTTAAGTTATATATAGTAAAAGTTGTCAGATAATGCATTACTTGATTTCCAAAATGCATGGTCATGGATACAAAGCACCTGCCATTGCCTGAGCCAGACTTTCAGGTAAGAAAATTAGCTCATTCCGGCTACCATCTTCCCATAGGGAAATTCTTAAAGGAAACACTAATCAAAGAACCACAGACCCAGCATTTTCAATGCATGAAATGAAGCATGTGTGTGGTGTTTTTTTTTTTTTTTTTTTTTGTGTGTGTGTGTGTGTGTGTGTGTGTGTGAACTCTACATTTCATACGGCTTCAAAATGAAGCTGTGGAAAGCAAAAATCAAATGTGAACATTTTTACTCCAAAGAGGGGGGCAAACCACATCATTATTACCCATCTTTAAGACGAATAAAATACCTGCTGGGGTTGAAATGCCTGCACAATCTTTTCTAATCAAGCAAGCATTTCCAAACACAGCGTGGCAGACCTCTGAGGATCCACAGGCACCTCGTTAGCCCTCGGGGACCCCAACATACCTTCACAAAAGGTTCTTGGTTGGGTCTGGCACAATAGAAAATCTGAATGTCCAAGGGCAATCTTCGGACCCTCATCCCGAGGGTGAGAACTGCCTGCTTGCTTTCTGAGGAGGAGCAGGCTTTTCCTCTGTCTGCCTCCACGCCAGGGCTCCTTGCAACCACGCTGAGCTACAACTGCTTTTTGCAATATCTCGTTTCCTGCACGATTGGGTTTCTGTTTCCCTCAGGAGAGGGCTCAACATTTCTACAGGAACACACCCAAATTAGGACGGGGAACAAACACACACTTCCTGTCAGGCAGAGCTGGGAGGCTGTAAAATGACACTTTCACCTTTGAAACTGTGGTTTCCTAACGGTGCTACAACAAACCGCATTGTTTTCTCTTTCTTCTCATATGCGTGGTTTTTCTCATAGTCCTTCGGCTAAGCCAGCTTTCCTGACCCCGCCTTCCCAGGCTTTCCCCAGCACCTTCTCTAAAGCTAAACCTCCATTTTAGACTTTGCGTAATTTCCCTGACATCAGCTTGAATCTCAGGGGAAGGATGAAAAGGAACTTTTACCCTAGGAAGGTTCACTGTACTTAGAACAATGGCATTTCACTTCAGTTCCGTGAGGGTCAAGTGTGAGCAGCTTAAAAGAATGGGAAAACATCTGCTTTGTGTGAGGCTGGGGAGAATGTCACGTTAGATTCCGTTTTCCAGAACAGCTGGTGAAGTAATTTTTAAAAAGGAAAAACTTTTTAGGATATTAATCTTTTTTTTTTTTGAAACATGGATTAAGTTGATTGGGGTGACATTGTTTAATAAAAGTATATAGTTTCAAGAGTACAGTTCTAGAATACATCCTCTGCAAACGGTTTTGTGTGTTTGCCACATATTTAGGATATTAATCTGAATGACTAAGAAGCATGATGAGACGTGCTCTCCTCCTCAGATCTGAGGTCAAGGGTGTGGAAAGAAATGCAGAACACCCTGGATCAGCTTTCAGCAGTCTTTCTGGGCCCGTTCCAGATCCCAAACGGCATTTCGGTCCTGCTGAGGGGATAGGCGTGCTCTTGTGTAGCTCATCCTGGGGTCGGTTCTACTGAGGACCCTGGCAGGTACCCGTGATCAGTCCCAGGTTCGACAGAATTTATCAGCAGGGCAAGAGCCTAGGCACAATCTGGGGCAGAAGCAATAGGATTCTGTGCCAGGGAGATGGCATTCCTGTAAATACCGGGCACTTCATGACAGTTAGGGCTGAGGGCTTTCTACCTGCTGGCAAGTGCCAGGTGCTTTGTCAGGCAGAGTCTCCAGTGGGTGAGAAGACAGTAGAGAGACATTTACAAATACATGAATGCCGTTCCATGTGACACGAATGCTAACAGCAGTTTCAAGGAGGTTGGAGCCATCTAGAGAGTTCTGAGAGCAGAGGTGGGGTAGGGGGAGATGTCCAGGTGAAAGGCACAGCAGGAACACACAGCTGTGTCCTGTGTTCACTACAGCTTGAGGACAGAGAGCAAGGGAAGTAGAGAGGAGGCTGGGGAGGGAGCAGAAATGAAGAAAAGAAGAATCTTGATGGCATGAAGGGTCTAGGAACTTATCAGATAGTATTTCCAAAAACTGGCTGTTCTTCAAAATCATCCAGGAGCGTTTAAAAACACAGATTCCAATGTTCCTCCCCTAGACCTACTGAATTAATGTCTCTAGTGATGAGGGTCTAGGATTCAGTTTTAAAAAAAATTTTCCAAATGGTGGTTTGGAAGCTTGGCTAGGTGGGTATTGATTGCTACAGGCAACCGAGAACCATTCGGTGCTTTAAGCATGGGCGTACAGACCAAGCTTGGGATCACTTGTTTGATCCCTTATTTGGGTCTTCAAGCCTCAAGGGTTGCTCATCTCCAGTCTGTCAGCCAGAGAGCTCTCCAAAATGCATATCTGTGTATACTTCTCCAGGCTCAAAACAGCACAACGCCTTCCTACTGCCTTTAGAAAAATAACCAAACTCTGACCCATGGATCCTTTGTGATCCCTTGCTTAACTTCTCCAGCTTCCTTTCCTGCTGTCCCCTCAGCTTTACACTCTATGCCCAGCCACACTGAACTTCTGTTACCTCACCAAATGCTCTTTCTTTCTCCCCTGGGTCATTCCTCTGCACAGATTTTTCTCTCCGGACAGGCCAGGTTCCATATCCCAGTCCCACCACATCTACCTGTATTCCCACTTCTGGTCTCAGTTCAGAGCACTTCTGGGCAGCTTTCTATGCTTCTCCAGCTCCTTTCAGATGGCTGGCTACAGCCTGCTGCAGAGTTTGGCACTTCATCTACAATGGCAATTACCTTGTCATAATGTAATGATTTATCTATACTCCTTAATGCTAACTTCTACTGATTTCACCCGCTGTGCCCCTAACAGGGAAAAGGTTTGGTAAGTGCTCAAAAAAAACTATGAAGGGCTTTTCAAGCCAAATTAAGGAGCTTGAATTTCAACCTGTATGTAAAAGGGACACAGCAGAAAAATTTTAAAGGAAAAGTGAAACGACCCAGTGGTGGTGTTGGTGGTGATGGGATCTTTCTGTATAACTAGCTTCAAGCAGGGATAAGGTTGTATCCCACTGTAACTTCAAAGCTGCACAGGGAACCTAACTTCTTCTTTAAAAAAAATATTTTATTGATTTTTTACAGAGAGGAAGGGAGAGAGATAGAGAGTTAGAAACATCGATGAGAGAGAATCATCAATCAGCTGCCTCTTGCACACCCCACCACTGGGGATGTGCTCGCAACCAAGGTACATGCCTTTGACCGGAATCGAACCCGGGACCTTTCAATCCACAGGCTGACGCTCCATCCATTGAGCCAAACCGGTTTCGACAGAATTTAACTTCTTATTAAGCCAAGAAGCTCTTGGAATCTGGACACAAGAACATTCTGACTGAATCCTGCAGTTTAAGGACCACGACAGTGTAGCTCCTACTTGAGTGCTCACCTCCCAGCTCTTGGTGGTCGGCTCACTGAAGAAGTTGTCAATCATGTTCAGTTCTTCCTTTTCCACCACCACAAAGCCTTGCTCTTTGGCATCTTTCCCATAGACGTCAGGAGACCACTGAACAAAGAATGTGTACAAGTGGTCCACCCTGAAAAACATGTTCATCATAGGAATTAACACCAAATCCACCTTCCTGGCGGGCACTGGTAGGGACTTTGGCACGGACAACCATCTTGTTCCTGCTTGGCAAAGCCACCTTCCTAATTGGGAAATTACTCACTGTGAAGGTTATCTCTGTTAGTACATTCCAAACTCAGAAAATAAGTCAACAAATGAAAGCAGAAGTCCACAGACATGGAGAAACTCTTTCAATCTGAGGAAAAGTTCAAGCGATGGGACAAAGGACTAAAAAACACAATGAAATATATCAATGTTTTCCTCACTGAGTCTTCATTTTTATTACACACCTGTATTCACTGGGAAAAAATTAATCTGAAGCTTAAGAAGGGAACCAAGATAAACACTCTAATGGGTCTTTTTGTAGAGTGAAGCACTTTTATAATTTTAATGAAACATCTTTAATAACTACAGAGTGTTATGTACTAGATATTGTTTAGTATTAGAAACATAGCTAGTTATATGGACATGGGAATGTCCTTTGCTTCCAATTTCTCTGTTCTCACATACAGTTTAACATCTGAAGGTTCTGAAGCCTCTCTCCAGGCTTAATCAATAGAAAGATGGCTGGTTTCCAAGCAGAGAATGAGAGCTCTCAGTCCCAGCACCTGCAATAGTGTGTGTGTGTGTGTGTGTGTGTGTGTGTGTGTACATGCACACACGCTGGAGGAGGGGGGTGTCAATTTTGGTATAAAACATTCTTGCTTGCAAATGCCGTTTTCTCTATAAGAAATACCTCAACCTGAGTAGGAACCTGGGGTGACCAGGTAAGTGGCTTCTCCCGAGCCTCTCCTCTTGTGGCTGCTAGGTTTGTCACTGGAGTGAGTGGCCTCTCCTGCAGCAGTCAGGGCCAGCCCTTTACCCTGAGTAAGCACTGGGCTTCTTAGATTTACCACAGGAGGAAGTTTCTAGAAATGGCATTCTCAAAATATCAGAGATATAAACATTTTTAAAAATATATATTTTACTGATTTCAGAGAGGAAAAGAGAGGGAGAGAGATAGAAACATCAACGATGACAAAGACTCATCCATCAGCTGCCTCCAGCGCGCCCCCTACTGGGGACCAAGCCCTCAACCCAGGCATGTGCCCTGACCAGGAATCAAACTGTGACCTCCTGATTCATAGGTCAAAGCTCAACCACTGAGCCACGCCAGTTGGGCCATAAAGATTTTTAATATTAAACACAGAAGCAACCTTACAGTTTTTATCAATGCTGGTGAAATATACCTGCTACCTAAAAAGAAAAGACGTGATTCCCTGACTCAGGGACCTTACGTTGCACAATAACTCTAAGAGGCAAGTGTTACTATATGCCCAGATAAAGATGAAAAAACTGAGGCTCAGTAGATTTAATAATGTGCCCAAACTCCCCATCCCTGAATATGTCCCAGCCAATCTAAGCAAACTGGCTCTTCTTCTATGAATGCTGAACTGCAAGGGGGACAAGTCCATTTCTGTGCCTGTCCATTCAGGCATTTCATAGTATGGGCAACTACTTTTTGGCTTTGGTTTTATTAATGAAGCATAAGTACTATCAGTGAGAAGCCCTGGGCGGCCCTTAGGGCTGCCTACTTCCTGTTCCTCCTCCGCCGCCTTCATCAACAGGCTCACAGCATGGCTAGCTCTGTGCTCTGTGCCTGGGGAGAGCACCGTGGGGCAGCCGCCTCACCTCAGGCACGTTCATGGGGGTTGTTCTCCGCTGGCTGTGGCAGGGAGGGCAGCAGCCCTGATGGCCGCCCTCTTCTCTTGGTTGGTGGGTTCTACCTTACAGCCAACCGTCATCCCGGCCTGGGAGGCCCCAGGTAATATGAGATGAGAAACCTTAAAAGTATGTTCTGCAATGGGGCACCCCAAGAGGGAAAGTTCATGTCTCTTCTCAGACATTCAAGACACGGACACACCCTGGTTTCCCTCAATAACAGCCTTGCTCAGAACATTCCCTCGTTGTCTCATGTAGAGAGAGGGTCCTTATACCAAGCGTCTGATGGAAAAGCAGGGAAATGGGAAATTATTGAGGCCTGTTCCACAGGAAAAATTTAAGAGAAAGTCATTTGGGACCAAATTGATTACTTAATTCTGAGGCCCCTGGAAACCAAATGGAAGAATCCATGTCCCTCTCCCCAGCTCCACGTTTGCTCAATTCCCCATCCTTTGTTTATGTTATTTTTACTAATTAATTGGGGAGGAGAGGAAAAGGATATGACTTCATCATTTTTCTTTTCCAGATTAGAGTAGAAATTTATTGAAGTTTATTTAACCTAATTCTTGGAATGGCTCTTTTTGGCTCACTGGGTTTTCCTGGTAGTGAGTTCCCAGAACTCCAGCCTCCCCTCTGGAAACAGGCCTCAAGTTCTGAAAATTCCCCTCCTGGCCCTCAGCCTCCCTCTTCCCCACTCCTTCCCTCAAGACTGTTATCAGAAAGACCTCTCACCACGACCCTCATCCTTCCTCTTCTCCCAGCCGTTAGACCCTCCTGGGTGCACATACTTCCAGGACAATCTTTCCATCTCCCCCTCGCTGCTGTCCCCTAGAGGCACCTGCCCTTCCAAACACCTGCCCACAAAGAGAGGAACACATCCTCCCTTTCCATGGAGCCTGCTGGGTTTGCTTATTCATGCTTCAGGAATCCACTATAAATCAAAGGCTGCTAACCTTGGGCAGGAAAACCCTCCCTCCAGCTCTCTTCCTTGCCTACTCCACACACAGCTATTCCAGACCTCTGCCTTCTCAAGCTCTCCCCCTCAACCTCGTACCCGCCTCCCTCTCAGGGCACAGTTCCCTCCATTATATCATCCGCATGATGCCCTCCCCTCCACTGTCCCTCTTAGCGATAGATCTTTCTCTTCAGAATGAACTCCTCTCCAGCTTTAACCTTCCCCTCGGGCCCCTCCCTGGTGAGTTTCCTTCATGTCTCCCACCTCACCTCTCGGTCCTCTCCATCCCTTTAGCTCCTCATCTTAATCCACAGACCTGCTTGTATTTTCCCATCCTAAAAATATAAAAGCCTCTAATTTTTTTCTCTCTAAAGCTCCCTTCTCATAATAGGCTTAGCCTATTTTCCACCTTCTTTTCAATCCTGAATTTTTTCCATTCTGATTTTATTAACCTTTTCGTACATGTTCTGTGTTAAATCTGCTTCAGATACTGTCTAAAATGAGGTAAACATTTTTAAATCTTGTTCCCTCCCTCACTGCTTAAGTGAAGCTCCGAACAGTGTCTTGGGCATCGTTTGTCTTGAGCAGTTGATGGCTTTTTCGAAGCTCACTCGGCGGCTCATCCTGTGGTCTCCATGCGTCACTGAGCTTATTTCCCAGCCTGTTAGCCCAGGACACGAGCCGTAATTGCCACTCCCCTGGCCATTAAGCTGTGGATGTGTTAAGAACACGTGAGCAGGAGAATGGGTCAAGGACTGGGCCCTGACAAGTGCTAATGTTTGAGAAGGAAGTGGCAGAAGTGGTCCTGGAAGGAGGCCAGGAAGAAATGGCAAAGAAGCGGAAGCGATTTTACAAAATGCAAGTCTGATCACTTCGCCCAGCTATGCGCAATCCTTTAGGACTCCCCGCAGGCTTATGATACAAGCAAACTCCGTGGTGCTGCCAGAGAGCTTTGCTCTGAGTCCATCCCCAAACGTACTCCTGGTTCCTGCCATATACTATTACATGTTTGCTCCAACATCCATTCTGGCCCCTGTGCCCAAACTGCTTTCTTTTATTTGTTCTTACTTTTTTTCTTTTCTTTCTGTCATTCCTTCTTTTTCTCCTTCTCTTCTTTTCTCTTTCTTTCTTCCTCTCTTTTTTTCTTTTTTAATAGATTTTTATTGACTTCAGAGAGGAAGAGAGAGGGAGGGAGAGAGAAACATCAATGATGAGAGAGGATCATTGATTGACTGCCTCCTGCACACCTCCTACTGAGGATCGAGCCCACAACCTGGGTGTATGCCCTTGTCAGGAATCGAACCCGGGACCCTTCAGTCCACAGGCTGACACTTTATCCACTGAGCCAAACCAGCTGGATTTTCTTTCTTTATTTTTTTAAGAAGAGTGATGACAAAGGTTAAGCCTGGGAGAGAATCATCTTAGGGCCGGTAAGGTTCCTTAACCAGGGGTCACGGTTAAGCTGGGTGTTGACAGAGGACAAGTCAGTTCCAGGAAGAAGGGGAAACGGCATTCCACCGCAGGGAACATGTGCAGACAGACATGGCATGTTACGGCAGGGTGATGCCGGAGGAGGTCCCCCTGGACATGGCGGAGAGGAGACGGCTATGCAGCAGGGCGACTTCTGACAGACGGCAAAAATGGGAGGCCCAGTCCTCAGGTTGAGGGGCATTAAGAAACCTCCTTACACAATTCCAGCGACACCAGACCGAAACCAGTGGGCACCGGAGCTGACTGTGTTGAAGAGAACACCTCAGGCAGGGGAGGAATTCCTAGCAGGAAGGATGAAAGGGCCAGATTTATTCTTTACTTAATGGAGCGGCAGGAGATGAGAAAGAAAAAGCCAGAGGGGCTGGGTCCCTGAGTCACAGAAAGTCCTGGCACGAGACCAAAGGCGTGGACCTTACCCCGAGGCTACTGTTTCCCAAAATGTGGCTGTGGCGGCTCCAATGACTTCAGAGGATACACAGAGGAACATATTTAGATAGGTACATATTTATTTAAAGAGTATCAACAGGCCGAAACCGGTTTGGCTCAGTGGATAGACTGAAAGGTCCCAGGTCCAATTCCGGGCAAGGGCATGTACCTTGGTTGCAGGCACATCCCCAGTGGGGGGTGTGCAAGAGGCAGCGGATCGATGATTCTTTCTCACCAATGTTTCTAGCTCTCTATCCCTCTCCCTTCCTCTCTGTAAAAAATCAATAAAATATATATATTTTTAAAAAGAGTATCAGCATTACATACAACAAGCATATTGTACTTCTGATTTCACAGGTATCACTGCTCAGGAAAAGGCTGAGAAAAAAAAGAACGAT